GTAGAGACGGGGTTTCACCATGTTGACCAGGATGGTCTCGATCTCTTGACCTCATGATCCACCCGCCTCGGCCTCCCAAAGCGCTGGGATTACAGGCTTGAGCCACCGCGCCCGGCCTCAATCTTTAATTTTCATGTCAGATTTATTCCCTTGGATTTTGAAACGACGTCCTGGTCAACATGGTGAAACCCCGTCTCCACTAAAAATACAAAAATTAGCTGGGCATGGTGGTTTGCGCCTGTAGTCCCAGCTACTCGGGAGGCTGAGGCAGGAGAATTGCTTGAACCCAGGAGACGGAGGTTGTGGTGAGCTGAGATCGTGCCACTGCACTCCAGCCTGGGTAACAAGAGTGAAACTCTGTCTCAAAAAAAAAGTGTTTGAAAAAATCCAGTGAAATCACTCAAATAGTGTTCTTATTAAAAAAGAATATTTTATGGTGCTTACATTTTATACCTCAATTACAAAAGCAAAAGCATCTATTCCTTTCAGACAATAAATTATTTTATTATTTCTATAAAAATTATACAGTAATTAGTCATATGGAAACATTTCTCATAGGTACAAAGTTTCATCTCATAAAATTTAGCATGAATCTCAAAAATCAAGATAACAGGATATGGAACAGAAATATTCACTGTTATCACTTTACCTTGTGAAAAGAGAAACTGCCATTCTCACAAATCTATGTAACTCACCAATCATCTACCACATTTTTTGGTAGAAATGTATTTATTTTCTATAGCCAAAAAATGGAAGAGAAATTTTTTCTAATTTTTCCTTGTCAGCATTCTAAAAGCTAAGACTTAGAATTCTGTTTAAAATCACTCAGCCATAAGCACACCTGAGAAAATGTTTAAAGTCATTCTGACAAAGAAAAAGGTAAATAAGAATTTTTAAGAAACGGAATATATGATTAGAATTGTTTTCTAAAACCCACTTCTTTTATGCCCTTTGCAAATATTTTTGTGCCCTTTAAATTTTACTAATTAAATGCAATTTACAGTTACAAAAAACTAAAGTCAAAATAAGTGAACAAATGTTTACAAGGTGACAAACCCATAGAGTGACAGTGCTCATTAGAAAACAGATGTGTCGGCCGGGCGTGGTGGCTCACGCCTGTAATCCCAGCACTTTGGGAGGCCGAGACGGGTGGATCACAAGGTCAAGAGATCGAGACCATCCTGGTCAACATGGTGAAACCCCGTCTCTACTAAAAATACAAAAATTAGCTGGGCATGGTGGCG